GCCACAAGTGTACCCTTACAAATCAATGACAAGAGATCTTTACCACCCTCTGAAACATTCATGCCATCTGCTTCATTAACAACATCCTCTACTTCAAGTGCACCCCTCGAACCATCTGAGAAGGCAAACTTCTTAAAAGCATTGACATATTCTCGATTTTCACAGGCACTGTAATCCTCAGTAATACAGGGAGTGCAGTAACATGACAATTCCCTTGATTTTACCGCCCCATCTACACCTACTGACATCAAGGAATGAAGTTTCCTAGTATTTGGAACTGTGTTGTATACACTGTCATTGCGTTTGCGATTCACTGACTAGAAATAAGAAAGTTCACATACCTTCCATGAGTGAAATGTACCGAAAAATTGTGGTGAAATCTTTCCACTCCACGAAACAAAAGATGGCTTCTCCAGAGCACATGGAACTTAATTGACACTAATTGACAGCCGACTGACACTGATTGCCAATTAAGGGATTCAGTAGAGACACCTGCCATGATTTTTAGGAACTACAAAGAGCAGTGGGAATGGTTTTATGCATTAGCTTTCAGTTCAGTGTATTTGTCCTCCACTTCCGCCACAAAAAATCCACCCCTGACTTTTTTGCTTCATCAGCCTGTAACTGTAACATAACAAACTGAAGGCAAATGTTTCTAATACCATCTGAAAGCAGAGATCGAAAGCTACAAAGTGAAACCCTATTTACTATTATAGCCCTGGTTTTTGGTTATGAATTTTTAATTTTTTGGCCGAAAAAAATTTCGGGTGTGACAAATCCACCTTTTTTGGGTACCTACCTCATGACGCATGACCGTCTGTGACCATTTCATTTCCGGAGCATAACTTGAAAACCGTTCTATATTTTTTAACAAAACTTGGTGTGCACATTAATCATGACCTGAAGTGGTGCCTTTTGCTAATCCGAAGTTGATGAATTTTGTATTTTTCTGGTTTCCATGGAAACATTTTGAACTTAGAATGTTAGGGGGTATGGTTTGTCTCTGGAGCAGGTTCATTCGTTCAATATGCGGGGCTGGGGGGATATGCCATCTCCTGATGACTCTTGTATGATATTCGGTCTGACTGAACAATAATTGAGCTTCTTGACAATAAGATACACTTTATTGAACCCCGTGGGGTAATTTGTCCTCTGCATTTGACCCATACTATAGTTAGGAGCAGTGGGCAGCCACAGAGCAGCGCCTGGGGACCAACTCCAGTTCTAAAGCCAAAGCCTTGGTCAGGGGTACTGGTTGGAGTGTTCCAATGATGCATGTTTTTGTGGGTGGGGGAAACCGGAGTACCCGGAGGAACCCCACGCAAACACGGGGAGAACATGCAAACTCCACACAGAAAGACCCCAGGCCGGAATCGTACTCACAACCTTCTTGCTGTGAGACAACAGTGCTAACCACTATGCCACTATGCCGATTGCGTGTTTGCAACAATGAGCAGGGGTCATATTCACAAAGAAGCTTACCTTAGTACTGTGAGTACTTTGTACTGGCCTTAAAAGTTAGGCACTTCTCAAGCGTGATTCACGAAGCTTCTTGTGCCAACTCTTACTTGGGACTTGGGTGAAGTCGTACATTTTGAGTAGGGGGTGGAGTTGACCTCCGTATGAAGAACAATGTCGTGTTTCATCAACACACTTATCTACTTTGTCCACTGTGATTGGTTGTTGGGAGCCAGTCTAAGCCCGTTGCTGATAACCAGTGCATCATGCAAACCAAATTCGTGGGTGGGCAACAGCGGGGAACCTTCTGGCTAGTCAAGGTATTCAGTGAAGGCCCTAGAGAAAATATTGAAAGAATTTTGTACTCCTGTTTGTTTGTTTGTTTGTTTGTTTAATTTTAGTCAAATAATAGTAATGATTTCTGGATTATTGGTATAAACTTGGGCTCGTGTGTCTTGACAAACAGTGGGTCAGTGTAACAGAACAGGGTATTGGGACCGATCACACTTTTTCTTCTGATGGTATCTGGGTGAATCGGTGACTCCCTTAGCAGTCAGGGCTTTTGGTAGCTGTAACTTATGCCTATTAATTCAAGTGATTGTGGGCATGAATTTGTAATTGACAGTTGTCTTAGCCAGTCACATTTTGTTGAGTTGTTAGTGAGAATTTTTTGACATCTTCCTATGGAATCAAATAGGGGTCATTAATATTTTGAGCTTGTAAAAAAAGTTTTGTTACTGCAGAAATATTTTGTGCATGTGTGAAAAAGTTCTGGGCACAAACAGAGATATAATTTGCACATGTGCAAAAGGTTTTTTTGAAGTTGTAGAAATATTTTGTGTTTGTGTGTATGTGTGTGTGTGTGTGTGTGTGTGTGTAATTAACATTTTTGCAGGAATATTTTCAATAGTGTGGTTTTGCGAAGTCTCTGAAATGCAAATTTCCTAAATGCAAATGTGACACAAGTTAAACTCGCGAATTAAAAATAACAAGCACAAACGGAGCCACAGCGGGAAGTAGAGAAATGTTAGCAAAGCCGCATAAAAAATGATGACAGGGCTTTGACTCTATTATGACCTGAATCTGACCCATAAGACTGACTAGCCAATCAGCACGTTGGCCTCTGACAATCCAGTCAGAGGAATTCAAGCTGTTCAATCAGGGGATGAAAGGTTCTAGTGAGAGGCGGAGAGGAAAACGTGCCTTGACAGAGCCTTCTTGTCTTTTTGGATGGCTAGCTGAAATATTAAAAATTCCCAAATGTTGTGTGGTGACCGGACGGTTGTATTGTGGATGATAATGCTTCTTAAATTGACTATTTAAAATTAAAAAATAGTGTTTTAAAGTGTGATGTTTGCATTAGCTACATGGGTGTCTCCCTTAAAAGCCATTTAATATTTTATTACATGACTTTGTTGAATACTCGTTACTGATTGGTCAATTACAGCATTCCATGGTCTGTTATGAAGAACTCACTGCTCTGGGCGTGAGTTGGTTCCAACTGTAGAATCTAACGTTTTAATGAAATCAATTTTAAATCAATATTTTGCTTCAAATTATTGATTTCTTTTGTAAGTAGCCGCGTAATAAGTGATGTACAGCCAACCAGTAATTATTGTGAAATAAACCCCTTCAGGGTGGTTCAAGACCACTCCGCTTTGCTTTGAGTTCCGGCATCATCCTGTCGGCGTTTGGTTTGCAAAAATGATCGGCTCGCTGTGCGTTATTTCTTACGTGTACCAACGTATCTAATCCAAATGTAACCGTGTCTATTTATAGATGTGAAGTAAAAGCAATTTGTATTGTTGGCCTTCTCTAGATACATGGAAATTAATAATAGACCATATAAGCCTCCTGAAATTGTCAGAAGGAAGCATTTTGTCATTGTTCAGCATTTCCCATTTATATAAAGGGCTGCAATCACAAAGCGAATCGAGGAAAGAGCCAGTTCAATTAAACAAGCGCTGCACTGAGATGGATGAAAGGCAACTCCGGTTTAATGTCATACAGCTTTTAACAGGAACCGAAATCTGTGTAATTTGTGGCTGCATATATTTTCAAACACATCAAATTAAACAATCCTTTGGGTTAATAACCACAAATTCAAATATTCAAACCAAAAAAAAGGAAAGAAAATATGGCTTTTCCACCAACTTTCCAACGATGCCAACGAGTCTCCAGCTGCTTCAGCATTCTCTCTCTCTCTCTCTCTCTCTCTCCCTCTCCCTCTCCAGCTTCCTCAGGGCACTGCGTTAGCTATTGTATAACCTCATTATGTCTCCCCTCTGGAGGGAGGGGGTTAGACTTATTGTTTTTGGCTCGGTTCTCGTCTGTGTTCCTGAAGAGTTTCCGGACCACAACTCAGAAACGCTCAATATTTCTTTACCGAATTTAGTACATGCATTGATTGGCTACCAACCTGATGCCTTTTGGTATTTTGGGGGGTTTTTTGGGGGATGGGAGGGGGGAACATTTTTTTTTTACCAGTAAAAATCATTCTAATTTTCTTATTCATTTTATTGACTTTTGGCCTTTTGGACCCCCAGATAGGTGGGCTGGGTTAGTGGATGACCCTGGTGGAGCAGAGGCGCTGAGAACCTCATCCGGCTCCTCGCCAATATCTGAGGAGGAGTCAACAGCTGTGGCAATGCTGCTGAGAGGCTTAGTGGAGTATCTCTGCCCTAGAGCCTTTTGTATCGCCTCCAAGAGAGGCCAATTCCCAGCATTCACCTCCCCACCCTACAGCCCTGATCCCGTCAGTGGTAATATCAGATCATGTGGAAAGGGTGTGAGAAACACTAGGTTAAATGTAACATCACATCTCTTGATTAAGCCTCATGTATCATTTATAGGACTGGAGTCCGATACTTCACTGATTCACCATCAGTGTAAAGTAAACAGACAGAAATGGCCTGCATGCGATCCAGTGGCCCATTCGCCCGGTGATGGCAGATAAACATTGTTCACTCCACACTTTTTCTCAAGTGTTCTAATTTCGATTGGCTTGATTTGTTGTGAGATCCTTCTCCAGTCCCATCTCTTTTACGACCAAACTGATGAGAAAATCAGTTAGAGTGTCTGAGCAGGAGATTTACCACAGCAGCAACAGACAGTCAGTACTGTATGACACACACACACACACACACACACACGCCAGTTTACAGCATATGTGTTCGATTCAGTTGTCACATTTAAAGTTGTCTGTTGGTTGTTAAAATAATCATGAACTGACATTTTACTAACTGAATTCTTGCTTGAAACCTTTAGTGGAAGCATTTCTGTGTTCAGTGAAGTGTGGCGTGTTCTTCGTGTGCAGTTCGATGAATTGCGGTGTTCGTTGTTCGCTCCCGGTCTGTAAACAAAATGGCAAAATTGTTGAATCCGTGATCTGATGAAGCTTATGTCGATAGTATCATCAAGCCATCATGAGACAAACGACTACTCACAGTTCTGGCCACATGGTAACCTCATGTTTTATAGTCACAGTGCAATGAATTGTGGGTAATTCCCTTGGGCAGTCTGCAGAAATGCGGACTATGCATCCCTTGGTGGCGCAGTGGCTAGCACTGCCGCCTCACGGCAAGAAGTTTGCAGGTTCAAATCCGGCCTGAGGCCTTTCTGTGTGTAGTTAGCGTGTTCGAGTGGGTTTCCTCCGGGTACACCGGTTTCCCCCACCCAGAAAAACATGCATTACAGGAACAGTCCTACCAGCGGTCCTGACCAAGGAACTGGCTTTAGAACTGGAGTTGGTCCCCGGGCGCTGCTCTGTGGCTGCCCACTGCTCCTCACTATAGGATGGGTTAAATGCAGAGGATAAATTACCCCACGGGGTTCAATAAAGTACACTTAGAAAAGTGTTCAAGATGGGCAAGACAGACCTTAAGCACTTGACAATGGGTCAAGTCCATGAGGCAGTGAGTGTGGAGATAGGAACTGGGCCACAGCGATCCACTTTCTTTGAAGTCAAGCTGCAAACAAAAATTAACTAGTTGGCTCGCAGTATTTGTGTTCTGTTGCCAGTGGGAGTCTAGTCTAGGGCTTAAAAATAGTCAGAAAACAGCTCGGATTTCTGTGGTGCATATTATTTATCATAAGGTTCAGTCAGTATGCCTACATGTGTTTTTGGTTTGTAGGAGAGTGCCCCTTTCTATCCAAATGCTCAGTTTGTTTCCTGGTTTGTCAGTTGTCAATGTGTTATTAGCTGCCACAAAATACCTGGCTTTAAAGTAACTCCTTGGTTGCATTAGTTTTTAAAATGACGATGCATGCTCTCATGATTCCTTCAACCAATTTTTAAATGTTTTGACAGGCTGGGTATTTGTGCAACCATGGATTGGGCACAATAACTGAACACCGTTTGTTGGACAGAAATGCACAAGATCCTCCCCTTTAGCTTGGGCTCTCTGGACTAAAGGGTCTTAAATGGATGAATGGACATTGCATTAATATACTGAGCTACCGCTTTCTTTACTGGGACTGAAAGCGCATGACAGTGATGAGGGGGAATCTAACCGCAATCATCACCAATGTGTAGCACCCACCACTGCGATGGACGGCAGCATTTTTGCAGTGGAAAGCTCTTAACAGCTGAGATGGGGAGGCATTGTGCTCTTTAATTACAAATTAAACTGGAATTATTCGGTGGCAGATTCAATTGAACCAGGTTGGGAATTTTGGCCGGTCTCAGAGGAACCCCCTGTTCGATGACGGTCATGGGTTCATTAATGACCGCTGTGACTCAGGGCCACAGTTTTTCGAACCGGCCGAAAGATGTCCCTCATCTCTGCTCTACACCAGCGGTTCCCAGTCTGGAGGCCTCCTCTTGTCTGCCGGTTTTTGTTCCAACCACAATTGCAATAAAAGAATTGAAACACGCTGCTAATTTTTCTTGAGTTCTTTGATTTTTATGTGGATGACGTATCTTATTGATCAATATTATGCCAGAAAAATGCAGCACCGCAGGAGTATATATGTGATCCCCAAGTTCATATTGTGCTTCTAGCAAAATGGCAAACCATTACATATAAAAGAGGTAACATTAATCACAGAGGTAATAGACTCCTAACTTGGTTGGCATTAATTTTTGTCTTTTCTTAAACATCAATACAATGCAAGTTTGCCTCATGATCATTTACTTTGTCTCTGAATTGTTCATTATCTATCAGACGGCTGTGATTGGAGGTCTGATGTCTTTACTTCCTCTAATTAGCAGCCCATTGACGCAGACCAGTCTCAATCTGATCAGAAATTATTTTCCTCTTTTTATATGCGTATATGTTTGTAATGCAGCCCAATAAGCACATGTCCACAGAAATGCAAATTAACATATCATACAACACTATTTCTGATGTAATATGATTAAGATTTTGAGTAATCTAGCATGAAAAGCATATAGTTTGAAAAATTAATGGCTTGTTTAAATAATTTGATTGCTATTGAGGTAGGAACAAAAACCAACGTACACGGCAGTCCTTCAGGACTGAGTTAAGGAACGACTGCACTTGGGAGTTCTTCCATGACACGTGACTTGCTTTTTGGGGCTGGGCTATAATGTGAACTTTGAAGTGTGCTTTCTATTGTTTACAATCCTGTGTGAAATGTGCTGTTTAAATAAAATGTGTTTTTGACTTCATTTACTGGGATATGGGGAGTAAAAATTTATAGGGAATGTGGTAGTGTTTACCAACCGCCATTTTTGTGAATTTGTATCGGAGTATTCAGTGAAACTGACCAAATTGTGTCTCCCAGTAATTTCCTGGAGAAATAATATGTGAGCGCAGTGTACCTGCATCTTCTGATTATGGATATGATCATGTCCTACTGCATGAACTCCCTCGCCCGAGTCAGTTATGCAGGCTGTAGTTTGGAAGACTGCAGTGCGCACAACTTGTGATGCTTATTGACTGTGGCCAGACATTACCCACGTTTACCCACTGAGAAATGTTGCCAGATTTCTCTAAAATATTCCTCTCGAAGCCTCCCTTTCTGTTAGAAGAGACAAGAGTGTCATTGTAGCACGGTGGTCAGCATTGCCGAGATGGTGAAGATGGGTTGCTGGTACCACAAGTAAAAGACAAGGGAATCTCAGGACAACAATGGCATGGTTTGATTTCATGGTATAGTTGGAGTCCTGTCTGGCTTTGGCCTCAGTCGGTCTAAATTGAAATTGAGTTGTATCAGTCAGTGCACTGTTCTTTGTTGGCAGGCAAGATTTGTTGTTTCATCATGTAATGAATGTATTTTTTGCCGGAATAAGTGGTGTTTTCAGTACTTTGTTTCAGCACAAAAGCAGCCTGTGTCCCCAGCCATTGTTTTTTCTTCTTTTTGCGGTTGGATGTTTGATTTAACAGGATCTGACATTGGCTGAGTACTTCAGCGGTTCTTGGGTCTTCCTGATTTTTCTTTTTCAATCTCCAAATGGCAGAGCTTATCAGTGTATAATTTAGTGTCATGTAGTTAATCCAATCTGTTTGGGCCTTTGTCAATACTTATTAATGTATAACTTGGACATGATGAACATCAAACTTGGTGTTTTACTGGTCCAATGAAATATTATGTACTTTGTGTTAGTGGGGTAACAATGGACAAGCAAATGTCACTGTGTCCTTGGATCATTGAGTTAAATTCGATCTTGTTTCAGGTGAGTCTCAGGGAGCGTTTATTTATTTATTTATTTTTTGGTGAGCAGTCTTGTGTACTGTTTGCTTTGCAAACCCTTCAATTTCCATGAATAATCCATGACTTTACACTCACATTTTGCAAAGGTTGCTGACAATCGAGAAATGTAGTTTACTTTTCAATGTACTGTTCTTCAGACTGAAATTCGGATTGTTTGGAGGAAAATATGTTTTGTGCTGAAATCCCATCCAACAGGCATTCTGGTTTCATAATCAGCAGTAGTCATTAGCTAAGATTGCAACACTGCATCTGACCTTTTCATAGTGATTAGCACTGTCGCCTCACAGCAAGAAGGTTGTGAGTTCAAATCCAGCCTGCGGCCTTTCTGTGTGGAGTTTGCATGTTCTCCCCATGTTTGCGTGGGTTTCCTCCAGGTACTCCGGTTTTTTTCACTAGGAGAAACATGCATTATAGGAACACTCCTACCAGTGCCCCTGGCTTTAGAACTGGAGTTGGTCTGTGGCAGCCTGCTCCTAACTATAGGATGGGTTAAATGCAGAGGACAAATTACCCCACAGGGTTCAATGTGTATCATATCTATCTTAAGTAAAACATGCACATGGCAAATAACAGTTTATTTGGATTACATTCTTACGCTCTGGTCTGCACTTTTTATAGAGTAACATAAGGCGTATTTAGCACCACATAGTGGACGCAGAAATTGCACCAAAATGTGTCACTCCGCACTGGCAACAACATTGTAGATGGGTCTGATGGTTGCAAAAGTGCGGAGCTGCACCCGACAGGATCTCGCCAGCACCCACGATGTGCATGAGGGTGCAAGGGTCCATTCAACACTGCTTGCAGCTTGATTTATCATTATTCCTCTACCAAATTATTTGTATTGTAGCCGAAAGGTCAAGGTCAAATGGCAAAAATGTGCTATAACTATCTTAATATAGCATTTAGAGCTCAGGTTTGTATGAGGCACCTATCGGGAATCAGGTGTGCCAAACATTATGAGTCAGTCACATTTGACCTTGGGCCTCAAGGTCAAATGGCAAAAATTTGCTATTACTTGCTTAATATGACATTTAGAGCTTAGATATGTATGAGGGACCAATAGGGAATCATGTATGCCAAACATTCTCGGTTGTTCGAATTTGACCTTGAGCTGAAAGGTCAGGGTTAAATGGCAAAAATGTGCTATAACTCTCTTAATATAGCATTTAGAGCTTAGGTATGTATGAGGCACCTATAGGGAATCAGGTATGCCGAACATTGTGACTCAGTCACATTTGACCTTTGGCCTCAAGGTCAAGGCCAAATGGCAAAAATGTGCTATAACTTGCTTAAAATGACATTTAGAGCTTAGATACGTATGAGGCACGTAAAGGGAATCATGTATGCCAAACATTCTCGGTTGGTCGAATATGACCTTGAGCCTCAAGGTGAAGGTCACATGGGAAAAATGTGTTATAACAGCTTGATGTGGCATTTAGAGCTTAGGTATGTGTGAGGCACGCCTATAGGGAATCATGTAAGCCAAACATTCTCGGCAAGTTGAGTATGACATTTGGCGTCAAGGTCAAATGGCCAGGGGTGAAAGTCTGGGTTCAGAAAGTGAAAATCCTCCCCAGAACTTTATTCCAACCACCTGGATTTACTTTGGACAGGAGATAGAGCCAATATGAGTGATCAACTCATTCTATGGGAGGGAGAAAAACTTGACAGGACTTTTACTTTCTGACCCCTGGATTTTGCACTTCTGCAAATGGCAAAAATGTGCTATAACTCGCTGAATATGGCAATTAGAGCTAGGGTATGTTTGGGGCACCTATAGGAAACCATGTATGCTGAACATTCTTAGGCAGTCAGTCAAATTTGATGTTGGGCCTCAAGGTCAAGGTTATATGACAAAAATGGCCCATAACTTGTTTAATATTGTTTTTAGAGCTTAGGTTGGGCACTAATAGCAAATCATGTATGCTGGTTGT